GAGCGCAATTTAGCGCTCGTGCGCCCAGGCGGGCATCCTGAGCGCGAATCCGCGCTCGCGCGCCCAAGCGGGCCATTGCAGGTGCGATTTCGCGATCCGGCGCCCAGACGGCAATTTGAGCGCAATTTAGCGCTTGTGCGCCCAGGCGGGCAACCTGAGCGCGAATCCGCGCTCGCGCGCCCAAGCGGGCCATTGCAGGTGCGATTTCGCGCTCCCGCGCCCAGGGGAGCAATCTGAGCGGAATTTCGCGCCCGCGCGCCCAGGCAGGCATCCTGAGCGCGAATCCGCGCTTGCGCGCCCAAGCAGGCCATTCCGGGTGCGGTTTCGCGCTCCCGCGCCCGGACGGGCGATCTGAGCGAAATTTTGCGCTCGTGCGCCCAGGCGGGCATCCTGAGCGCGAATCCGCGCTCGCGCGCCCAAGCGGGCCATTTCAGGTGCGATTTCGCGCGCCCGCGCCCATGCGGGCAATCTGTGCGCAATATTGCGCCCGCGCGCCCAGACGGGCAATCAGAGTGCGAATCCGCGCTCGCGCGCCCAAGCGGGCCATTTCGGATGCGATTTCGCGTCCCGCGCCCAGACGGGCAATCTGAGCGTAGTTCTGCGCTCGCGCGCCCACGCAATCAGAGTGCGAATCTGTGCTCGTGCGTCCCGCGCGGCCGTTCGATGCGATTTCGCGTCCTCGCGCCCAGACGGGCAATCTGGGCACAAATTAGCGCTCGTGCCCCAGGCGGGCATCCTGAGCACGAATCCGCGCTCGCGCGCCCAAACGGGCCATTCCAGGTGAGATTTCGCGATCCCGCGCCCAGGCGGGCAATCTGGGTGCAATGTTGTGCTCGCGCGCCCAGACGGGCAATCAGAGTGCGAATCCGCGCCGCGCGCTCAAATGGGCAATTCCGGACGCCTTCCCGCGCTCACGCGGCCAATTGGCCCATTTTGGGCGCGATTTCGCGTTCGCGCGGTTAGATGGGCAATCTGAGCGCAATTGCAACCCGAGCGCAGCTTTCGGAAGCGATTTCGCGTCTTGCGCCCGGAAGGGCGATCTGGGCGCAAATGCGCGCTCGCGCGCCCAGACGGGCAGCCCGAGCGTGATTCCACGTTCGCGTGCCCGAACGGGTCCTTTGAGTGCTATGTCGCGCTCCCGCGCTCAGAGCGGCAATCTGAGTGCAACTGCACGCTTGCGCGCCCAAACGCGCGACAGCACATGGGCGAAGATGCGTGGGGTTGTGTGGGTTTCGCTCCTGCAGGGCAATCTAAGCGATTTCCTCCAGCGACTGGGCGCTGCCGCGCTCAGAATTGAAATATGGTCGCAATTTCGCGCTATGTTGCGCTGGCGCAGGCGAACCTCCGCACAAGAGCGCGTAGACGCGCACAGGCGCGGCGTTTCGGCGCGCGAAGGCGCGCGCGCGCAAGTACGTGGCGCAGGCAAGTGCTTGGAAGCGCGCAGTGCCGGACGCGCCGAGCGCAGACGCGCGAAATGCTTGGAGGCGCGCAGCGCCGCACTGAAACGCGCACGGTCGTTCAGGCGCGTGCAGCCGCACTGGCGCGCAGGCGCAGAGACGTGCGCAGAAGCAAAGGGACAAAGAAGCGGTCAGAAGGGCGCAGAACCGCGCAGCATCGAGAGGGGTGCGCTGGGCACGCAGGAGTGCGCATGGCCGCCCAGGTGTATTGGCACGCAGAAGTGCGCACTGGTGCGGCGGAGGCGCGTATTCCGTAGTTAAGCGCAGAGAGCGCACAGGCGCGTAGAGGCACGCCGCGGCGCGCGCCGTGCGTTGTCGCGCGGCGCAGAAGCAAGCTGCGCGCCGAAGCGCGCGGGCCCGCGGAGCGGGGCAGACGGAAGCGCGCAGCAGCGCGAAACGTGTGCGAAGGCGCGTGGAAACGCTCAGTAGGGCGCAGGCGCACAGGCGCCCACAAGGCACAGACGCACACGGGCTCTCAAAGCAATTCCACGGCTCATGGCCGCAACGGGCGCCCGGCGCGCCCGGAAGTGCAATCTAGGTGTGCGGAGGCGCGCTAAGGCGCACGGGCGCGCTGAGACGCGCGGTGTCGCACAGGGGCTCGCAGTGTCGCGGGCGCAACCAAATGCGCGCAGAGATTCGAACGCGCTGCAGACGCGCGCGTAGGAACGCAGAGCAGAGAGGCGCGCAGAAGGCGTGCAGGCGGCAGGCACGTTCGCGCTGAAGCGAGGTTCGGCGCCCGCTGGCGCGGACCCTTGTGGCAGCTGCGTGAACCAGCTCTGTCCTTGCACTGGGCGCGACGGATTCCGACAAAGCTTCCTCAGCAGCTGCTGGGCTGGTCTCTGGGTGCAATGGGCGCTAGGGTGTTCCCAGGCGCCCAGCCCAGCAGCAGGCCTTTGCCTTCGCCCACTGTTCCTGCGGTGGACAGCCTGAGGAGATTTTCTCGGCCCTTAAATCACTTGTTATTTTATGGGCGGTAAAATTATTCCTCGCATGTACATTCACGCGTTCCCACACGTGCAATGGGCAACACACATACGTGCAGCTGGCTGGGGCCGCCCTGGGAAACCTCCAGGGCACCCAACCAGCGGAACGCGAGGGAGCGGGTGGGCGGGGAAAGCAACCCAACCCGAGAGCAGCCTGCACCGCGGCAGCGGCAGCCCCACGAGAAGCGATGCGCACGCGCACCCCCTGACCCCGCAGGCGCTGCTGCGTCCGCGTGCTGACGCAGGGTCCACAAGGCCCCTGGTGACCAACGACAGACGGACACGGACGGACGGACACGGACAGACGGGCAGAGAGGGAAACCGCACCCTGAACGGGCCAGGCGTGAGCAAGAACTTCCCCTCCAACTCCGCAGCCTCCGTAGGAAGCTACCGGCCATGAGCCAAACGCACGAAGCTAGGAGGCCAGGAAGCCAAGAGGCTAAGAGTGGACAAGAATCCTACTCCTCAAATTTCACTGCCCCCCAAACCACTCGTGCCTCGTGATTTAGGGGCGACTAAAATTATTCCTCGCATGTACATTCACGCGTTCCCACACGTGCAATGGGCAACACACATACGTGCAGCTGGCTGGGGCCGCCCTGGGAAACCTCCAGGGCACCCACTGCACCCAGGTGGGTCCGGACAGCTGCGCGAAGCGGTTTGCTACTGGTACCTGTGCTCCCCCATGCAAGCAGGAGCATTTTTACTCAGCAGCGTCCGACGAATCTGAGTGTTCAACTAAGAACTCTGCTGCCGCCACGTTCCCCCGCGCCCTGGCTGAGGCGTACGCGAACGCGGTGAGCCCGCGCCACCCACCAGAATAAAACAGGGCAGTGGGGCCGTTCGCCTGCAAACAATCCGTCGCCCAACCTCGGCGAAAAGCATGCGTTCCCCAGAACATGGCGTTTTCTATGCCGCACGCCTGAGCCGCCACCTTCAGCGTGGCAAGGCTTTCCGAATATGTCAGGCCAGGAAACAGCGCTCCAGAATGACAGCTGTGGCGAGAAACAAGCACACATACTCCACAAAGCGCTTTACCCTGAAGGGCGCATATGCACCTCCGAACCACTTGCACGGGCTCGCTGTAGCATTTCCTGTTGGTGAAAGTGATGGACACCTCCTTGCGCGTACCAGCCGCCGCGGCGAGGCAGACTGGCGCTGTCACCGATCCAATCTGGAGAACCTCGCCATACCGTAAACAGAAATGACGCGCCACGACCCAGGACGCCCCAACATCGGGCAGGCCGAACGCCGAGCACCACGTGGACAGAGCTTTGGTCTCAGCAGCGGTGGCACGAACGCGAGGCCGTCTGAACGACCGGCCTGCCTTTTCAGCGCCACGGACGACCCGGGCCGTATCTGCCAGAGCGCCCAAAGGGAAACGCATCCAATGCAGCACAGTGCGGAGGTGGGATAAGTATCGCGCCAAGGTCCCTGCACTCCGAAATAAACTGATATATGCGTCAACCACGGGCGTCGTCGGCGGCCAAGGTGCAGATGCCGAGTGCAAAGCCACCTGGCCGTACAACCGCACTGCAGAAGAGTAGCCTCGCGCACTGGCGCGCCACCCGCAAAATTCGAGCCACACAGCCTGCTCACGCATGGCCTCCAAGTCGACAATATGGCGGCTGCGAGTCAGCTCTTGCCTTGGCGAAGAAGAGGGCAGCGGAAACACATCCCCGTCAATTTTGGCCAAGACCAAAATGGCATCTGCGAGTGTTGCAGGACCTGGCATTTCCCCAGACGCGCGGGCCACAGCGCAAAGCCTGAGAGCCGCGCGCGCTGCCATTGCCCGAGAGTTTGTCCCCGACGCAAGGGCAAGCACAGGCGGTTCGGGGAGTATCTGGGCGTCGGGGAGTAACGGGGCCACAGCACCGCGCACTGCGCCCTCAGGTTCTGCAGAAGCGCATGCTGACGCGCACAGCTCCGTCAGCGCCTCCGCGAACGGCAAAGGTACGCCTCTGAGCGCAGACCACATGTCCTGCGCCTCTGCCGCCGAAATGCCAAGGAAATCCGAATGATCTACTGCTCCCTCGACGGCCAGATCCGACTCAATTCTTCGCACGTCGACTGTGAAACCTGAAATGCTCGCCGCTCTTCGCAACAAAACGCCGAGCGTGGAACTGCCAGCCGGTTCCACGTGGTCACGCGCATCGCTCAGCCTGGGACGCACCAAACGACCATCATCTCGAGCCAGCTCGTCCTGCCGTGCCCTACTCTGGCCAATGAAATGCAACATTTGCTCCAATCGGCTACGGACGGAACCGCGCAGTGGGCGACGAATGACGCCGAACAGGCGTAACGCGAGCACACATTGGCCACGGACCAGCTGACGGGCACACAGAACAATTCTCGGAGTCCGAGGCCCTGCGGAAACAACCTCGGCCACAAACTGCAGGAACCAGGGCCGAACCTCATGGGTCCGAATGGAAGCGCCCAGGGCGCCAAAAACAAACAGGAAACGGCGTTCCGACAAGAGACCTGTCAAAATGGCACGCATAGATGAGGGTTTGTGCCGCACGATGGTGACGACGCCACACCTGACAGCGAAAGTTCTTTTTCCACGGTCGGGTACAGTCACTCCGCGTCCCAAGGCAGTGCTGCCGGCCATAACCAGGCAATCCGCTCAAAGCTCCGGGCGCCAAATGCGGCCACAGCTGCGTCCCAGGTGTCCCGCCTGGTGGGCCCATCGGCGAGGTTCAGCTTACTTGGAACACGGAACGCGTGCAAAGAGATGCCGGCCCGGGCGACCTGGAACCAGAAACCAGTGACCAAAGCATTGAGATCCGTTTGTCTGCTCGCTCCGCGCACAAGCACGTGCAACGCCGGATTGCAATCCACGAAAAGAAGTATTTCGCAGTCAGCCAGTCCGCGCTCGATTAAGCATCGGACTGCGCACGCTGCGGCAAGCAGCTCCCGCAGCGCAATCTGAGTGCGCCGTGGATGCGCCCACTGCCAAGCCTCCTGCGGCACCGAGGCGGCGCTCCACAATCGGAAACTCGGGTGCACCAGTGCGAATGCTATTCCTCCATCTCCCGCAGCATCTGTATACACAATGCACCGCTCAACGGCGCGCGGCGCAAGCTGAATCTGCCTTGTCGGCGCCTCTGCTAGAAACGCGGACCACCAGCGGAGCGCCGTCCGGACGCGCGCCGTCAAACGAGCAGTGCGGCGATTCGCTTGCCAGTGAAGCGCTGCGAGATACGCCCTGGCTCCCCTTCCAAAAACAGCGCTGCCAGCCCAATTCAGGCGGCCGGCCAACCGCTTCGCTTCGGCTGGACGGAGGGCGTCACTCTGGAGAGCCTCCTGAATGGTCTCGAGCCACTTCTGCTGTTTAGCTGGCCCAATCTGGAAGATGATTTCGCCTGAGCGCGCAGAAACGTCCACTCCCAAAATGGTGGTGCTCGTGGCGCCTCTCACGCGCTTCGAAGGCTCAAGCACCCAGCCTGTCAAGCCCAGCAGTTGCTCTGCGCAATGCGCTGTCCCTACTGGCCCTGTCAGCGCGCTTGCTGCGTCCAGGCACCTATCGGCAGAGAACAGATCGTCCACGAACCGGGGATATGCCACAAACAGATCTCGCGCAAGCAACGCCTGGAAGAACGAACCAAGCCTATGCCAGCTGTGGACAGAAGCGCTCGACCCAAAAGGGCAGCAAATCAACTGCAGACCTTTGGCCTGCTCAGCTGCAGTGCGCCAGGAAATGACAGCGAAAGGCAGGTGTTCCGCCCGCAGCGGCAGGGATTTGAAGGCCCCTTTAAAATCCTCCTTCCGGAAGCACACAGCGCAGTCGCGCGGCGCATCACCAGCGACAGACCGCGCAACAGCGAGCAGAGTGTCCAAAGTGTCGACCGGCATGGGTTCTCCAATTGCCGTTGCTGAATTGACGAGAGACCCTGAGAAATCATCAATCAAGCGGACCTTGGGGATGAACTCGCCGCCTGCTTCCTTCCACCCCTCCAGGGCAGGGAATCGGGCAGAGATCACGGAGGCGGCGGGACGCAGCTCTGTCCACCATGCCTTCTTTTCGGCTACCTCTTGCACGCATTTCGCCACAAATGCGTTCCAGACTGCAGGCTGCGCGGCCGACGGTCGGCGCACTCGCTCTAAAGTGTTGGCGTTGTTCTCCAAACAACGCTCGGCGAGAGATTCTGCAGTTTCTGACACTGCAGGGTACGCGACGGGCGGCAAAATGCCGCTCCGAGGCAACTGGCCAAGCAAGGGAAACCTCGTTTGAGATCTTCCACCAGGCGGCAGTCTGGCCAGCCAATTGCCTCAATCATTTCCGCAAGAAGAATGAGATTCTTCTCGGGCCCGAGGACAAGCTGACAATGCTCGGGCAAAAGCGCAAACGCACATCTCCAGGCTGAATCTGTTTCGCGCTTTCGCGCGGTCCAGTGCTGGAGCCTCGCCGCCCGATGCGCGTGAAGCTCGGAATCTGACAGGGATTCCGCCCCCTTCAGTGCCTCAGCTATTACTGGTGGCACTGGCGGGAGCCCTTCGTGTGCAGGCAAAGAAAGAGCCCGTTCCAGGTGACTCCAAGGGTCCATGGAGCCTAGCAAAACAGGATTGGCTAGCAAAGAGTCCACGGCTTCGCTCAAGGCAGCAAACCCGCCGAGCGAATGCTCCAGGGACTCCCGGTCCTTTAAAACACTTGTAGGGGTACTATCAGCATCACTGGCGGACGCATCTTCGGACGCCTGGCTTCACCGGCTCGACCAGCTTTTGCCATGCTGCCAGCTCTGGCCTTTGCTCCACTGACTCTCTTTTTTGTTGCGGTCTGCCTGGGCGCGGCTGCGCGATCTGCGCCGCAGGACTGGCGACACAGGTGCAGGGCGCGCCCCCTTGGGCCCACCAGCACACTTGCCACTGCCCTTGCCAGAGCTGCCCTTTGCCTGCGCCGGCTGCGCTGGACCTTTGCCTGCGGCCTTCCCCGCGCGGCCGATCGCCGTCTGGGCCTTGTCCCGAGCGTCCCGGACGATCTCACGGTCCAACCTCTGGAAAAAGTGCGCAATCTGCTCGCCCCTCTCCAAGGAACGTGCCATCTCACGCCGCACCAGCCAATCGTAGAAATAGGCGGTGTGCACGCCCCCGAACTCCTCGGCAACCCGCGTAAGCAGGAACACGTAACCCAGCACCTCGGACACAGAACAAACCTTCATGATGCAGATCTTGAGCCCCCACGTCATGACGTGGCCCAGGAACGTCGCGAAGCCAACGTAGTGCACCCGATCCTCGAGCGTCCGGGCGCGGCGCATCTCAAGAGACGCGCGCATCCGATCCTCCCACGTGCCTCCTGCAGCGACGACGTCGATCTCTGGGGTGCGGCTCCACTGGGGTCGGTGGGCTGCTTGGAGGTCGTCGCCATCAGCGCTGCCCACGAAGTGCCTGTCCCGGTCGGCAGCGGCGCGGCCGGCCGCCTCCCACTTGCCCGCGAGCTCCTCTGACGGCAAAGCCTCTGGGGGAAACTCGTGGAGCCCGACCTCGCGGATCCTGTCCGCCAGGCTGAAGGACAGGCCCTTCTTCGGCTGCGAGCCAGCTTGCTTGACAAAGTCGCGCATCACCTCTGCGAAGGCATCACTAGCCGTCGCAGCAGGGGCCACGTCACTGCTGCTTGGTCCTGCGCCGCTGCTGCCAGCGGTGCCTGCCTGGGCCACGCACTTGCCCTGGACGCGCAAAGCGTACACGAGCTGCGCCGGGGAGAATTTCAGAAGCTTCCAAGCCTCCGGGTAATCCTCAGCGCCGAAGGGGAAGTCGTTGGGCTTAATGCCCTGCGTGATCATGCCGCGGATCACCACGTCACTGTAATCACTCGGGTGGGTGCTGCCCACGAGGTTGGCGAGAGCTGCGGCTACACTGGTGTAGAAACGCAAGTCGTGTTTGGCGCGTGGAGCCTCGTCGACGCTCAGTGCGAACCGCACCCAGTTCAGCCTGTCTGCGGCGGGCGCCCCGGAGAACGCTGCGGCAGGCAAACCCTCGAGATCCGCCTTGATCTCAACGTCTGTGAACGAAACCTGCGCCATGGTGTTGCGGACAACGAAGCAGGAAACTGCAGATTGGTTAGCTGGTGAGCAACAAAGACTGACTCGAACCGTGGAGGCTACGGACATCACAGTAGCCACACAAGACCGCCGAGCAAAACGTGGCGCGAGAAACGGGCAGACCCAGCAAAATCTGCGACGAGGAGCAGCAAACCAGCGCAAGCAGAAACACCTTCACCAAGTTGCACCCAAAGGCGCCGGCGAAGCCGCGGTAGCTGGAAACGCCCAGCGTCAACCAACGTTGACGGTCGTTGAGTTTGGTTACCGGCACGCCAGGATAACAACTGCACCCCCTCAGCGTTAGCAACGGCCTGAGCAGCCGAGCGCGAGCAATGGCGCGCCAGCCGAACCCAGCGCTAGCAACTGGGACGACTGAAACCGCCCAGCGTTCCAGAGCACACCTGCCCAACTCAGCGTCAGCAAGGGCCTTTGCAAACTCGAGCCGCCCAGCGCCAGCAAGGGCGCGCCAGCGAAACCCAGCGTCAGCAAGGGTACGGTGACTGAGCCGCCCAGCATGAGCTGGGGAACCCAGCGCTAAGAAGGGTATTTAGCGCCTGGAAGCGTTAGCCAGAGCGCTCCAGGAAAGCCCAGCGTTTGCGAGAGTTTTCGGCGCCGGAACCGCCAGCGTTAGCCAGGGCGCACCAGCGGAACCCAGCGTTAGCGCTGACTGGAGCAGCCCAGCGTTAGCAAGGGCGCCCCAGCGGAACCCAGCGTTAGCAAGGGTTTGTGGTGACTGGAGCAGCCCCGCGTTAGCAAGGCGCACCAGCGGAACCCAGCGTTAGCAAGGGTTTGTGGTGACTGGAGCCGCCCAGCGTTAGCAAGGGCGCACCAGCGGAACCCAGCGTTAGCAAGGGTTTGTGGTGACTGGAGCCGCCCAGCGTTAGCAAGGGCGCACCAGCGGAACCCAGCGTTAGCAAGGGTTTGTAGTGACTGGAGCCGCCCAGCGTTAGCAGGGGCGCACCAGCGGAACCCAGCGTTAGCAAGGGTTTGTGGTCCTGGAGCCGCCCAGCGTTAGCAAGGGCGCACCAGCGGAACCCAGCGTTAGCAAGGGTTTGTGGTGACTGGAGCAGCCCAGCGTTAGCAAGGGCGCACCAGCGGAACCCAGCGTTAGCAAGGGTTTGTGGTGACTGGAGCTACCCAGCGTTAGCAAGGGCGCACCAGCGGAACCCAGCGTTAGCAAGGGTTTGTGGTGACTGGAGCCGCCCAGCGCTAGCAAGGGCGCACCAGCGGAACCCAGCGTTAGCAAGGGTTTGTGGTGACTGGAGCAGCCCAGCGTTAGCAAGGGCGCACCAGCGGAACCCAGCGTTAGCAAGGGTTTGTAGTGACTGGAGCCACCCAGCGTTAGCAAGGGCGCACCAGCGGAACCCAGCGTTAGCAAGGGTTTGTGGTGACTGGAGCCGCCCAGCGTTAGCAAGGGCGCACCAGCGGAACCCAGCGTTAGCAAGGGTTTGCCGTGAATGGAGCCGCGCAGTGCTAAGAGCGCACCAGCTGGCAGCGGAGCCGCCTGGCGCCACGCACTGGCGAAACCCAGCCAAGGGCGCACCTGGAACGACCAGCTGCAGAGCACCCGTGCACGAAAGGCAAATGCGACGAGGAGCGCCAGCACCAATGCCCAACGGCCCGCAGGCGAGAGCACGCAACGTGACGCGGCGCTGAAGGCGAGGTGCTGCAAAGGGAAATACCAGAAGACCCTCCCGCCTCCTATCCCCGTCTGCGACCTGAGTGCACCACCCAGGCCTGCAGACGGCGTCATAGGAGCACGGGCGTACAGACAGGGGCGTGCGCCTTGCCCTGCTGCACCGCGGCAGCGGCAGCCCCACGAGTAGCGATGCGCACGCGCACCCCTCGACCCCGCAGGCGCTGCTGCGCCCGCGTGCTGACGCAGGGCCCACAAGGCCCCTGGTGACCAACGACAGACGGACACGGACGGACGGACACGGACAGACGGGCAGAGAAGGAAACCGCACCCTGAACGGGCCAGGCGTGAGCAAGAACTTCCCCTCCAACTCCGCAGCCTCCGTAGGAGGCTACCGGCCATGAGCCAAACGCACGAAGCAAGGAGGCCAGGGAGCCAAGAGGCTAAGAGTGGACAAGAATCCTGCTCCTCAAATTTCACTGCCCCCCAAACCACTCGTGCCTCGTGATTTAGGGGCGACGAAAATGGACGAAGATGGCCAAAGCCATTATATGAGCCACGGCTTTGCGTGGCACGCGCCGTGGCAGACGTTCTGCAATTTCTTGTTGTTCTTGCGGGAACGTGCGTCCCAGGACGCTCCCATGTGCTCTGGCGCCTCCGTCGGGGGGCAGCGGTGTCGTCTCGTCGTCGCGTCTGTCTTGTCTGTCGTGTCCTGTCTGTCCCGTCGGTCTGGTCTGTCTGTCTCGTGGTTGCGTCTCCTGGGCACTGGCTGCCGCAGGCAGTCGACGCCAGGGGAGCGCCGGACACTGCGGGTTTACCCGCGCTCGCGCAAGCCTCGCCGAGGCAGGAGGCGTGCGCCAAGCACTGCGGGTTCACCCGCGCTGCGGCGCTGCCTTGCGCAGGCTTGGGCAAGGCGTGGGTGAGGCAACCAACAAGGCTCTGCCGATGATCCCCGTTTTTGCCAAGGGCGAGGCAACCAACCAGGCTCTGCCGAAGACCCCTGTGTGTGTGTCAAGGGGGTCCCTGGCCTTGCTGCCAAACCCAAGGCCCGTGCCCTGGCTGGCCTGTGCCTCTCACCAGTGGGTCCCTGGCCTTGCTGCCATACCCCAGGCCCGTGCCCTGGCTGGCCAGCGCCTTCCTCGTCGCCAAATGCTTGTCGCCAACGTGCAGGTTCTCCTGTCAGGCAAGGCGTGGGTGAGGCAACCAACAAGGCTCTGCCAATAACCCCCGCTGAAGCCAGTGGCGAGGCTGGCTTGTGCCTCTCACCGGTGGGTCCCTGGCCTGGCTGCCACACCCTGCGCTGGCGCCGGTAGTGGCCGCTGTCTTAGTGGGCCCCTGGCTGTTGCCAGGGCCCGTGCCCGCGTTGGCGGGTCCATCTTGCAGTGCGTCCCTGCCTTTGCTGCTATACGCCGTTCGCCCAGGGTCCGTGGCCTGGCTGCCATACCCGGTCCCGTGTCCGCGTCGGCGAGTGCCGTCCTGCAGGGCGCCCGTGGCTTCGTTGCCAAGCCCAGGCCCGCGCCATTGCTGGCCAGGGCTTCCTCGTCGCAAGCGCGTGCTTCTCGTCGCCATGTGCGCTCGCGCTCCTCGTCGCCATCCGGTTTGGCTTGCCGTTTTGTCACTTTGCCCGAAGAGCCCGCGTGGCCCGAGCGGACGGCCGCGGGTCCCTGCCCATTGGGTCCCTGCGAAA